AAAGGTGCCATGATTATAATTTTTCTTACCTCAGCCCCAACCATGGTGGGGCTGAGGTGGGTGGACACTCTATCTGTGCAAGTCCCTCCATGGGCCCCTCAACTTCCCGGACCCACTACTGTTTAAGTAGGCCCTACCATTTCCGGGCTCCTAGAAGGGTAATATTTATCCGTCGGGGGAAAAGAGAATGTTTCGTATTGGAATACCTTACCATATCAAGGATAACCCCTCACATGATGAATAATTCATTGTGATCGTGGAAAGCAATCTCGATTTCGACTTTGTTCGGACAATACAACAGTTATGAAGTCATTATATACAGTAGCTTGATGCATACTAAATAGCTAATACAATTCACCAAACTTCGTCAATCCGCAGCTTTCAGGTGGCTTAGCCCCCTGGTGAACCATCGGGGGCCATTTGGTGGCCCCCCTGGCCCCCAGCCTAGATGCTCGCTCTGCTCGCATAATAAGTTGATTACCTTATGGAATGGCCCTCTCCCCACCCCCTCCAATTTCAAAAACTTTCCGCAGTAGTTGATTGCAACTGAGGCTAATGTGAACTAATGTCACATGCAAAATCGCCCCTTCCTTCGTCTTGTCAACTCACATCAGTGCGACGCCATGGGTGATTTATGGGCCCGTCGGACAGATTATCTCACCCCTGTGGTGAAAATCATGTCGTAAACTGCCGTGGTAAACCTCTCCTATCACTCGACCCTAGTTCTAACCCTCCTGTTATACTCCTACACTTGTTGCTTTATCACAAGAACCAGAAATACCCTTGACTCAAATCTAAACATCAGCATATTCCTTTAATACACAATTGCTCGTTGCTCAATGCATTTCATACAACAAATTAAACTCACCTTTTCTCATCACTTTGTAAAAGATTATTCATAGTTTATTTGCATGTGGTATTTTGTTGTTAGGTATACATTTCCAATATATTTCTTCCTTTGTTTTGTTATCCTATAATAGTTTTTTTTAAGCTTATAGAGAACAAGTATTATGAGCTATTATTATTGCGGAACAATAATTAAACGGTGGTTATTAAAACTTAAAAATGATGATGTGATGATGAATATGAATATAATAATATTGATGATAATGATGATCTACCGAATAATTTTATGATGATAAAGATCTAGTGAAAATTATGATGTTAGAGATTAATCATCTATCATCAGTTATTTTAATCAAAGAAAAACAAAATGTCGAAAATCCATAATCATAATTTTATTTATTTATTTATTTAAGTTATTTAGGCACACACTACATGTGCCAAGGATTGTCAATAGCGAATATATCACTGTCCTACTTGTAGGTGACAATCCCTTACACAAGACAAACATACACATACGATGCTTTACACAAACTAAATCTCAATATGAGGTCGTGAGAAAAAATCCTGCAACTGGCAGGAATTGAACCCAGGACCCTGGGATTGGAAGGCAAGCATCTTAACCACCAAGCTATTCAACTCCACTCCAATTATTATGATAAAAGATGTCAATTGAATACATTAGCAGTAAAGGTACTGTATTTAACAAGAGAATTGAATAACAATTGCACATTAATTTTTTTACATAGTTATATGATATTCATGACAGTTATTCACAACATTTTAGTATTTACAGATTGTAACGTTTCCGAAATTGTCAGCAGACGAAATTAAATGAAATGAATTCATTGACACTATCTGCTGGCGAACTAGGTCTCAAGCTTTCTACAACTCATTGGTTAGTACGCTTGAACTGCAATTTAACGACATTATAAAGTAAACATTCACTAATAGGATTTTGGAGTTTTATGAACAGTTTGTTTTAACAAGGAATGAAGATAAACATGTTTAAAAAGGATCACAATATTCTGGAGCACGTGATCAATCGACTGGCTGAAAATGTTTTACAGTAGGGAAAAAAACCAATGGTTATGTTCAGTTACACTATTCTTCAACATTTACGATTTGTTCATGAAATATCATTATTATACATAGACCTAGACCTGTTAAATATCAAGCAATTTTTTTTGTAATTATGTTGGTTGATTATTGTATTACTTTATTAACAGAAATTGTAAACGGTCAAAAAAAGCATTCTGAAATTGTGAAAAAAAATCACCCCTTTGGGATTTCAACCCGTGATTTGCCGCCTATGCAGCGCCTTAACCAACTGTGGCTTTTCTTGGAATTCTAATTTTTTAAATCATGAAATATAAATTCAAACAATTTTTCAGTATTGTAGAAATAACATAGTATATAATATGAAAAGTTGGATGAGGGAAAGTACGAGAATGAAAAAAAAGTCGCTTCAGGGAATATAGCACGGTCACCTGCTTGATAAAAGCTACGGTACTAACAGACGCGCGCCTTGTCCCTAGTTACATTCTCATGCCGTATACGGTCTAAGTTTAACCTTTGATGTATTGACTCCCCTGGTCCAATATTTACAGTGTTTCCGACCCCTAAAAGGAAGGTGAAAATAGGGGTTCCAATCTATTTTTATTTTCGTTATTGAAAATAAAGTTAATGAAATCATTAACAATATGACAACCCTAAATGACAATGCCCAGAAATGGTACTCATATTTTCAAGATGTTTTTCGAACTGTCTTCATGATATCTTTCAACATAAATTTGGGCAGCCCAAATTTCCAATTTCGTGTTGAATTAGGACACGTACACTTGACGATCACCAGAAACTGAAAGATCCCTAGGTTGAAAATCGTTGAACCTACGGAGGTTTAACTGTCCCCTGCTACGGAGCAACATCACAAAACTCCTTGAAACCAGCATTAGCGCCCTCATACAAAAAGGGATTTCAGAAGAGAGAAAATGTAAGGTGGATGTAGAGAAATTTAGTCCCATCGTTAAATTAATTTAATTTAAACAGTATGGCACCCTCACTTTTATCCCTTTGGCTTTCAGGTTGTCGTACTTTCGTACAATACCGTTGATGGTACATTTTCTTCAACGGTATGGCGTCATTACATGAGACTCACTTTAGTATTGAATTATTGAAATGATGTGGACGTGAATTTATAATAATGATAATAATAAAGATAATGGTAATGATAATAATAACAACAGCAATAAAAGTAATAATAACAATAAAATTAATAATAATAATAATAATAAATAATAATAATAATAATAAATAATAAGTAATAATAATAATAGGAATAATAAGCATAATAATAATAATAATAATATGTGCTAAGTCGGACTTAACAATAACAGCATAAACAACAACAACAGTAATAATAATAATAAAGTAGTAGTAGTAGTAGTAGTAGTAGTAGTAGTAGTAGTAGTAGTAGTAGTAGTAGTAGTAGTAGTAGTAGTCATAATAATTGAGTAAATGAATTGATTGATTGATTAGTAGGTGTGGGAGGGGGGGGGGCTGGACCCAAGGCTGGACCCAGAATAACAACATTACTGGGCTGCGGAAGAAAAAGTTCCTTGATTTAGAATAAACCATCATCCCTTATCAATATCATCACCGTGTGTTAATATTATCCTAATATTAAATAACTTTCAAATAATCTATTAGGCCTATATTTGTGGACCGAGTTACCCTGATTTATATATGCCACTGTGTTTAGACAACACAAAGCTTTTTTGGCATGTTATGATTATCATCACCATCAATACCATTAATGTTATTATATCATCATCATCAATATCATCATCATCATCATCCTTATCATTGTCATCATCATCATCGTCATCATTATCATCATCATCATCGTTGCTGTAATCAAAAACATCATTATCAGTATCATATATATTAGGCTAAATACTGTAGTAGTTATTATAATTAATAATTTTTGCTATATTTAGGTATATTCAGTGAAACACTAATTCTGATTGTAAGAGATTTATATGTAAAAAATTGTAAACATCACCTGGTACGGTCGATATCAACATATTCCTAAGCAGAATGAGGATTTTTTTGTGGTTTTTCTGATTGTTAAAATCATTTGGTAGTGTCTATTATTATGCCTGGAACATTTTTTGTGGCTGGCGTTGGAACCACAATAAGAAGATCTGCGTCTGCCCTTGGGGTATAATAATACTGTATCTTGGTGTATTGTAACTTGGTCGATGGAGACCCATACATCTAAAAGTAATTGTTTCATCTTGGGACATGTGCGCTATATAAAACTACACTATTAATATCAATTTGATTATTATTATTATTATTATTATTATTATTATTATTATTATTATTATTATTATGGTACAGCAAGGATGGTGTAGGGTGGGTGTGTTGTGGATGCGATGGTTTGGTAGTTCTGCACCACAGCAACACAAAATAACGCTCATGTGCAAGTTAATACTAAACAAAACTTTGACAATGTAGATAACATTTGTAGAGATAAATAGGCGTAACTAACGAAACACTATCAGTCACACACATGGGCATATGGCCTATTCTCAGACAGTCATTTGATAGATCGATTCAGGTACTACATACGCCTGTAATATTCAGAGGATATTTAAACAAAATTTATTACTGCTAAGACCTTCGGAAATTTAGCCCACTTAATGACATTCTAATGAGATGAAACAGCTAAGTTATGAAATAAAAATTATCGGAATGTTCACATGTCCAATTAAAAAAATTACAATACAATATCCGTTTAAATATCAAACGGGTAAACATATTTTAAACGAAACGTGAAATAAACGATTTCACATGTGTGTCGATGGTGCTAAGCATTACAGCATGGTGAGTAGGCCTACCCCTACAATTATGCCACCAAGTCGATATTCCTACTGAATTTAGCAGGTCGGGGATTTCGCCGTGGGTTTCAATTCAGTCCATATTCGCCCCCCGCCCCCCACTTTATTCGATCAGCGTGTCAAATGTATATAAACCTACATCATACAAAAAGGGAGGTGGGGGGGGGGAGAACGTTCACGAAAGAAATCCCATAGACATTGCCCTACTTGTCGACGTAAAATATTACCGTAGCCCAAATCAAAATATACAAATCAGTTTTTTACAAAATATTTTATTCGAAAAGAGCATAAGATTATATAAAAAAATTATTTTAAAATCTGACGCCAAAATATCAAGGTAATGAGACTAACAACTTCGAGATATGTTAGCCTGGACAAATATTTCAGTATTACTCCTTTTACCTAATTATACATAGATTAAAACATTTGTATATATTTTCTGCATAGAATTACAATCTGGTACGTAATAACAAATTTAATTGGTCTTTTATTATTTCTTCTTATCATTAATATTATCATTTATTATTCAAACAATTGCCAATATTTGTATCGTATTTTGATTTTTTTTATAATTAGGCCTATATGAAAAATGCTCCATTCGTTTTACAAAGCAAAATAATGTAGTAAATTGTTCGGAGGTTTCGACACTTTTTATTATCATAACTCAATTAATAATTATACTTTATTATATATAACTTAGGCTTTTAACTATGTGACAATGTATCACTTATTTTTGTTGAAAGTATGTTTCATTTAAAACAATAATAATATAATATAATTATAAACACCTTATAATTAATTATATTATATATTTATTTAAAAAAAATCGAAGAGGCAATAAAGTGTTTGACATGCAGCACTTTTCATAAAGTCTAATCTAAAATGCGTTTTCTATGCTTAAATTGTAGTATGTACTACTATAAATACTCTGACACACTATACATTTGTACACTTTACAGGAAAGATGAAAATAAATATAATACATACTGTGTAAGGTGGATTACAAATTTTATATTGAAGACTGCTGCGTGTTATTGCAACATTCTCTAACTTACATATAGCTCTAGTTTAGTTTGATCAACAAAAATACATTGCATAATATTATACACATCGGACGTAAAATAAACATTTGTAATAAAATTGAACAATCTGTAAATAAATAATAAATATATTTTAAACGTAAGGCCTATATTCAGTATTCATTTGGTCTAAATGCGAGTACATTCATTCCTAGTTTAATAATGCTTAATTATGCCTAACTTTTAAAGATGTGCCGGTATGACAAACAGAAAATCGGAGCAAGGATAAATTTGATTTTCAGAATTGGTAGGCCTGTACGTCATTAGAGTAAGGTCGGTGTACCACAATGCTTCCATCTATACTATATATCCAACTTTATAAACTGAGCTTTCAGTAAGTCAGATGGAGGTTGGTGGAGACGCGATATGCTTAGGTCTACAGTTTTTTAGACTATATATACTGTCAGTTCATTCTACATTAGCTACCTGATTCTAACTCATTTATTTTATTTTACATTTTTGTATAGGTCTACACTAAAGGGTTAAACAATTTGACAATCAACATTAACACAGAGTGGGTTTAGTGGTCAAGTTGGACCTAGATTTTTTTTTCTATAGAGTTCTCTTTAAAATACATTTCAGTTAAAAATAACAAAAATGGACAGATTACACAGGTGTCGAACAATAAGTACATTGAAGGCTACCATCCAGTACATTTGGTGACTATAATGTTTGCCTGTGGCCTCATGTATTCTTAGCCCAACTCCACTTAGTCCGAATATGTGATATTGTTTACTTACAGGTAGCGATTAATGTCTCTGTTTCACAGTTTTGACATTTCACATCACAGCACCACATAAATGTACAGTTACAGGGGTGAGTTCTGCGTTCTAGTTTTTCATTGTATCCTCGTCCACAACACATTACATTACAACTGTTCATACCGCTAGAATCTGTTTTGTTACATAATCTACCTTGAGTTCCAGCCGAACCAATCATGGCATCTGGTTCACAAAAATGCGGGGATTGTTCAAGATATACAACTTCTGACTGTGGAGGAATACGACGCTTCCTCGAAGCTGGTGATCTTTCTAAATTCCCGCCATTTTTATTTCCGGCTCTGACTTTGATGGATGATTGGTATTTATTGTACAATCTCTTGGCCACCTCACCGAAGTCTGGACTTTGCATCCAGCATGTTTTTAACTGGCAACTTCCTGACATTCCATGGCACTTGCATTTCTTTTCCACGTATGCTGCTATAGCCTGTTAGAGAAAACAGAAATACAAGCAATATTAGTTATCTGAACACCTTAGGACGTACTTACAAACACATGACATGTCCTACTGCTTCGGATATTGCCAAATTTTCTTTGATATATTGTATGCGACAGATTACTTTAGGCTTTGGCGAAGCTGAAATTTTACAGAGGTGTTCCACAAGCAGTCCGTTTAGCGTATTACGGGATATCAGTAGCAGCTGACATGCATCCCACATAGGGTTTTGACATATGAAAAAGTACATATTAAAATTGTCACCAGGTGTTATTAACATGGACATTTTTAGCATGATATTAGGTCAAATCATATTCAATTTACGTAGATATGTGAGGCACTTTACAGAAGTGATGAGATCTGATACTGTTCATTTTACTGGGTAAATACATTTTATGAAATTATCACTAAGATCAATAAGGTATACCTTGAATGTTGTCTTTGGACATCAGTAACGTGTCATAAATAATATAAATAAATGAGAAACGGCAGCACATGTGGTACATCAAACATATGATGATGAATGTAAATCTATTTCCATTACATTTTCATCAAGTACAACAATGTTAACGAATTTCTGGAATAGGCCTTTATTTCTGTCTATCTCTACAAATCCTCTCGATCATGTGGAGACGTTAACAACGGTCAAGTACGATAGTCTGTAATCAACTTTCTGTACATGTGTCTTTCTCTATCTGTTACTTTTCAATGGAAGTAACTGTTTGTTTATACCGTAATATTTAGCAATTTGAACGAAAAATTGTTCTAAGGAAATCAGAAGAAAGATACTAATTTTTCGTCTTTAAAAGCACTCTTAATGAATAAAATGGGAGTCTTTCTTAAAATCCAGACATCATGTTTCAGCATTGTAGAGGCCTACTTGAGAAAAAATACTTAGAATAAAGTTTTCGCAATTATTTTTATTAAACTTGTTACAAATACACCTTTTTTTTTTAATTATATAAGAACTAGTACAATTTTGCCCAGGTTCAGTGTTCTTAATTTTTGCCGATTTCAGGCTTTATGTTCTTATTTTTGGTTTTTACAAAAGGGATTGTAAAACAACATGAAACATTAACAGACCAGTTACAAGATAAAAGGAAAATAAAAAATCATTCCACTATACTTTGCCAGAAGAGAATAAAAATACGGAAATAAAATAATGTAACAAAGGCAAAATATTTTTTTTAAATTCTTATAAAAAAAAAGTGTTGGGTTGTAGCCTAATCATCTCTTTGGTTGTATAAGTTGTGTTTTATTGAATTCAAATAGGGTTACAAATACACAATAAAGGCGCCAGTGTGAAAATTTCTTTCCGAAAGACCACCTTTATAAATGATTTCAACCACAGTCCAATCAGATTACTTTCAAAGTGTTCGAATGATTTCCGACTGTGTGGTTTTATTAACGCGAACCATAGTTACTGAACCCACACGGCCTAGTAGCGGCCACAGAGGAATAGATTCCGATCTCCACAGGTAGGCAGCGGTTACTCACCGTATCGCAAGCTTTGAAGGATTCAAAGAGGATATATATGTCTTGTGGAAGGGGATTTAACATTCTTAAAGCATTATGTTTGATATGTCATGGAAGAGAGTTGACTTTGTTCAAACAATTGAATTCTCAAATGTCTTGGAAGGTCGTTGTAGTGAAACAGAGCAATTCGCAAAACTGGAAAATTTGTAAATGTGAATTTAAATGATTGTTTTCAATAGCTATCCTTCTGTAAGTCATCGGTATGGTGGTATTTCAAATATTAATAGCATATCCCTTTTATGTGTATTAAACCCACAATCAGCTAGAAATGTCTTGTGCTATTTCCGAGACCAAATGTCGCATATTTATTTTTCATCATACCTATAAGATTAATTCGTTACACCAATTATGATATTATGTCTGTTGATTGCCATCGCTGCCATTGTGGCCGTATTGTTTTTTATTTTTCAATTTATATCATTGAAATCGTGTGATATGCCCAGATTTAATTGTCCTTTCTATTAAAATAATCATTGTCATTACATGCAAATGAATCATAATTATCAAGATTATCAAAATAACGACCTATTTTATAGGAATTTTAACATTAAATTTACAGTCATTCATTGTTAAGGTGATTGAAAACATACGATTATGTATTGATCTTGTACTAATTGTAATCTTCGCTTTCTGCAGTTATTTAAAATAATTGCTTAATTATTAATGTTAATTATAGATATTTGTTTATCTGAATTCTCTAACATGGATCTCCGACATATCCATTATTTCCACGTTACCGGTATCTGGTCCTCTCTTCGGTGTTCAAATATTGTATACTCTGCTGGTTTTCTAATTTAGTTTTTGTTCTGTACTTATAATTATGTAGTGTTTTCTCTTATTATTAAAAAAAAAAACCAAATTGATGCGATGTGCCCATATATGTCAAATTACACACAAATAAGGCCATATCACAAAAATCTGTTATATATATAGTATACATATATAATATGTATAGTATGTATAATATATATATAATATATATAATAAATATATATGTATATGATATATAAAAACGGTTGAACGTGTTGCAAATATTATCAGCAGAGTGCTCAATGGTATATGATGGTATATATAATAATGGTATATATAATATCTGTCTCTTATACACATCTTTTCTGTCTATATTCTATATTTTCGTTACCTGTCAACAATATTTTTTGTTGAGTTCTTTAATGTCGTGTTATTTTTAGATTCATCTCAACATATATTAAAGGCATTGGTTATGTTATTGTTAAACTGGAATGTAATTTCGATCTATTGGTCCTCTGATGACCGTATTGTTCTTTTTTCTTTGGTTATGCGAAGTAAGCCTGTCTGCCTACAGCATGACAAGTTATTTCTAACAAATTTGTATAGGCCTATGTAATTGTTTGATTTATGCTCCTTCTTTCATGACTCGTAGAATATATAATCGAACAGCTACTCAGCCAGATAGGCGTAATACACAATATCCACCAAGGATTACCAATATTTCCAACCTTTTCCACATAACTAATATCATAATCATCAAGATCACTATTGTTGCAATGCAGGAAACTACTTCTGTTTAACGTGCGATTTTTATCCTCTTTATAAGGTTTGTCATAAAATTAATTCGATGACGTCATTGATAGTTTAAATGGTCTAGGGTAGGACTACACATCAGGGGGCATTAAAGTGCAATTTAGAAATTTAGATAACATTTTCATGGTGGTAAATATTATTGTTGTAGTAGTCTATTAAAAATATTTATTAATTGTAGACATTAATTTAGGCCCATGTCTATGTACGCCTAATTCATGTGCAGAATACTGATTGTTACGCCATAAATAATGTCGAAAATATGAATAATATATAGAACATCTTTCCGTTTTACAGGATGTGATTTTTTTAATATCATCATGAAGACGAAGACAGCGTACGCTAGAATTCTAAATTTATTTAAATTACAGAACAAACAGCTGTAAATGAACAACATACTCGGTATTTGTATTGTGTGTTGAATCATGGTTGTTTGGTCTAATTACTTTCATATTCAGCTGTTACCCGAAAAGAAGAAACTTTTCCTGTAGCAAGAATCACAAAACTTTCTTCACATTTAATCCTTTTTCCGTGTTCGAGCGTCAGTTGGCGGTAATTAAGACCTTCACACTTTTAAAATCTGACGTAGTAGTCGAAAGTTTGTCCAGCCGAATTCACTAAACAACTTTCTATTGACAAATTCTTACTCATCGCAGATGAAATCGATTTGAGGGAACTACTAATGCCGAATTACAGGTAATCTAATTCTAACCACTAATCCGTAGTTGCTGATACTCACGAATATATACTCGCAGTTTTCGCCGGCTTTAATAATGATGTCAGACTTCTGTTTCATTTTGATAAACACAATTACAGATCAGCTTTTACACGATCTTCCAGTCATACAGCTGTGTTTCCTAATGCCATGTATAAAAAATGTAGGCTAGAAAAAGTTCCCAGAAGGGAATGAAAGCAAGACACACTTAAATACTCTTTTACTATAAACAAAACTAAAATCTTAACGGAGGTACATTTCTAGAAAAGTATTGGTGGATACTGGGGGTGGGGGTGAAATCATCAATTCAATTAATTCCGATAGAAATTCATATTTATATTCATTTATTATTATTGCGTACTCTAAACTTAAACACAATGAACAAACAACGCAACTTCAGTAAATAACTTTTAATCTGGATCGATCCAATTCATTTCAGTCCAAAATAATAATAATAATAACAATGATAATAACAACAACAACAACAACAATAATAATAATAATAATAATAGTAATAGTGATAGTAATAGTAATAATAATAATAATAATAATAATAATAATAATAATAATAATAATAATAGTAATAATAATAATATCGTAATAATTCATTTTCAATTTCATTGAAACACAGTAAACAAATAATGCAACTTCAGTCAACTTTAAATCCATGGACTGTATATATTTTGAGAGAACATTAACAACAATTGAAGTTAACGAGACGAACGAAACTCAACAGGTGCGGTGCAAAAATGTATGCATGCTGGTCACCATGACATGTTCCCATTTTGTCAACCAGACTCTTTACTTTTGAGTTTTGAGAGAAATAAAATTATGAATTATTATGAATTATGAAAGCGTTAAGTATAATTGCTCATTTATATGTCTTTCTTATTTATGCCCTTTTTGATTGTGCTAGTTTTGTACATTTCTCTTTTGTATTTTTGATGTTGTAATGTGTCCTGTTTTCTTATTTTGACTAATTTAACTCGAGTATTTTAAATATTTTAAACATTTTTATTATTATTACATTGATTTTTTCTGTACATTTCAAATTTTCCTTAAATTTGCAATAAAGTTCTTTTGAATCTTGAATGTTGCATAACCCCAAAGCTTGCGGAATAGACCTGGTTTATTAAGTAAGATTTATAAGTAGGCCTAAGTAAAATCAGGGAGCAAAACACTTTTAGTTAATGTAGGCCTATGTAGAGTTCACCCTTAAATTTGAGATCAAATTTGGGACCTGAAAATGTGGGGCGATCTCATGGTTCTGTCTCTAATTAGAAGGTTAACTTTATCCTAATAAGATTGAAGGGTGTTAGTTGGTACTTTAAAAATGGTGTCGGATTAGAAGGGTGTCAGAATTAGAGGGGTCTGGAATTGGATGTATAAAAAATGAAAGCGTACCGGTAATTAGTCAGGGCTATGCTACTCCTTTTTCTTCTACTACTACCGTATAAATACTACTTCAGAGTAACATCACGCTTTTAACATGAGAACGTCGTTTTTGTTTTGTAAAAATATGTGAGCACTACATTGTAATTATATGAACGTATATTATATGAACGTATATTGTTTCAGACTTCTATCAATTTTGAAATTACAGAACAGTAGAACGAGTGAAATGTGCTAAGTGCAAACTAATCGAAAGGAAATGTAAAGTAGAATGGAACTCTTCATCCGCCCTATTATGCGTTTCGGATTTGAATAAGTGAAAAGAGGTCTTTACTTTAAAACCAATAAAGATGTAACCGAATCCTACTACATGACTGTATATTATGGGAGTATTTAAAACTCGGATAGATTACTGACAAAGAAGTGAAGGATTAAGTCAGAGGAAGTATCGTATTTAAAATGCATTGCAGAAAGCAGGACGGGATCGATAGCTCTTTTTCTAATTCTTGTCACTCACCTCTTGATTCATAGACTTGTGACAACATCTCCGATTCATGGGAAATTTTAAAAGATAAATTTAAAAAGCTAAACGAGCTTTAGCCCAAAACTACAATAAAGATACTGTAGCTTAATAAACTTCTCTCGAAGGGGGAACTTTTAAGTAGATGTGATGAAAATGCATAAAACTTTATTGTTAAATTCAATGCAAGATCATCCAATTTATCAATTTTTATTGCATGCATTCAAAAATTAGCAAACAAAAAACAAGCATTTATTGAATTAGAGAATTTGAATGAAGTGATACAGCCTTGGCGGACTCTGAAAACGATGTCTCCCTTGATACAACGTTTAATGAGGACAGTTGGATTTACAAATTCTTTACGGATCAGAAGACAAATTACCACTGAGGTGATCTAGTACGACCGTTTCAGCCAATTCTAAAACAAAACTTGTTTTATACATGGGAACGACAATCTGTAATGAATCTCATATCACAATGTGATGGGTGTTTAATGGCACTTTCAAAAACCTGATTTGATGAGTTTGCTTATGAATAGTGAATCAAGTAGACCTTCCAATCACATAATTTGAGTTTTAAGAATTACGGTATTTAATATAAAAAATTATTCACACCCGTTATTTGTAACAATCTACGGTACCATTAATAACTCAGAGTTTTAAAAAAAAAGTCGAGAGGATTTTTGGACGCGACTTCATCTATTATAGACCTATTCTTAATTCATGAATAGTAACAAAATTATGTCACAAAATGAGTTTAAGATCAAATTTGTATACTTATGGTTATTATGACGTCAATCTTATTCTTGTCATTTAAGACAATATATTATTTTTCTATCTAAATTCATGTATTGAAGGTGGTTATGTCAAATATACAAATTTATTTGGCCCTATGGAATATGCAAAGCACATCCAACATCTCTAAAAGTATATTATCAATTTTCAAATCGACATTGGGGAATAGTTTTCTCGATCCTTATCGGGCAATGACTGACAAATTTTGTAATATTTAACAAAATCAGGTACCGTACAGTTATCGTTGTACCAAGCGATTTTCAATAGGCTTAAACTTATTAAATACCGGTATCTAATTTAATGTTATTTCAACATTCTACATTGGGTTTTTGTTACAAATTTAATTAGAAAAACTTCAATGAATCAATTGACATGAAACTTAGATAATGTCATAATACCTTACCGTGCATCTAAGTAAATAGTAAAAATACAAAATATTTTTCATCGATACCCGACACCTCCAAGTCGTCAAAAATAATGCTAAGTTCATTTTTCTTTTTTGCCTATTTACTATAGGCTTAATTATATTAAAGTCTGAATTTTTCTAAATTAGAAAAATCTTACATACGTTATCTTTATCGGAGGCCTAGGCAATTAAAATATGAAGAAAATTTACACAATATCTATATTAAGACTAATGTTTTAATATGTTTGAATAAAGTGTATTATATCATCGAAAAACTGGTTTAGTGATTATCCTACGTGAGTGTAAAATAGTCTTTGATAATTATTCATGTGTATGTAAGCCACAGTAATATTATATAGTAATAGTTTATAAGTTAATTTATTAATAGTAATAATTGATTATTAATAATAATAATATAACTATTATTATTGTAATATAAATTTGTACACTTAATTCAGAGATTATACTTTCTCAACAAATAGATGGCTATTGTAATAACAAATTTATTAATAGTAATAATAGAATTAATAATAATAATAATATAACTATTATTATAATAATTTGTACACTTAATTCGTAGAGATTATACTTTCTCAAAAAATAAATGGCCATTATATGCTGAAGAAATAATGTTGTATAAGTACATTATACCGATTATTGTTTATGTAAAATAAAATAAGCAACTTAATGTATTGTGTCTCCGACAGATATCTTTTTGTAGACATAGACCAATATACCACCGATACTATTCGTGACGATCTAACTTATCGATTTGAACTCACCTCGTCTCATGATTGGGTGTGTGTAAGGGTTTCCATTCTTGGTTTGAAGTTCTGAACAATTCCAGCGCCTGTTCCGCATCTGGTTCTGACATGCTGATATACCTTTCTGAATGCCTTTGATAGCCTCTGCAGCAATGTCAGGATGCCGTCTACATAGCATCATTTGTTTTTTGGTGAGGGCTGGGTAGCTCCGACAAATCGTCTGACTTTTTTTTGATGGCGTATATGTCCCACTACCTCTTGATCGCATATCATTCCCAGCCCTTCTTTGAATTAACAAAACAAAAAAAAAAAAACCGCTGCCTTTATCAATCTAAGAAGTACAACGTTCATTCACCTTAAACAATAATCCTTTACCTTGATTCAACAGATCTAAATTACCAAAACATGGTGATCCTTTGTTCATTTAGCCCATCAGCTTTCTGAATAATGACATTGGAAGTACATGGTAAGTTTGGACATGTTTCCAACATTATTACTGTGATATTCAATTCAACCCGATTGAACTTGAGCATGGACCAACCTTGGTTCTCATATCGGGTACACTAATTGAAACATTGGTTGATACGACTTACCCTAGTATGAAAATGTGTTACCATCAGCAATAGCACCATTATAAACACTAATTATTATAATCCTATACCGATATTTACTACTACTATATGCGAATTATTGTATTACTCTTCGTTTATAACTAGGCCTATTCTTAACGATGTTGCTCAGCATTATTATTAGATTCATGCAGATCAATCTATTGCTTAAACCTAGTTATTAATAGATAATAGGCCTAGTATAAAACGACTACAATAGTAATAACCGGATAATAGCCTAATGATAAAGTAACTCAAATATAATCAACATCTCTCTGAAGGGCCTAGATATAAGAAAATCTCGATACAATGACAAGACTGAAAACTTACCCATTTACACCAATTATCATTGTGATCAGTAAAAAGTTTAAAAACAGCATTATGATGGAAAAAATGTTGATATTCGCTTTACGGTCTATGTGTAGCATGGTTCGTGGACTCGGTGCCCCAGTTACGAGCAAACCACATTACGCTCTCATGCGACAGATCTTTTTTAGTGTCTTCTATGTTGTTTGTTCTTGTTTTATGAGGCAGATTATGTTTCCTGGGTGTTGCTCAAAGAAAACCACGTTGCAATTGGAGCAAAAGCAATAATCCAGTCGTGTTAAATACAGATTTTTCAATTTTTTTCCCTAAATTCTCCTTGTTTCCAGACACTGTGTGACGGGCTTTTCAATGCAAGCTCAATGTCGATACTAACAAGTGTATTGCAGAAGCCACGGTTTTCTGATAAAGGTTACGTATCGACAAATCACAAACAAAAGAAAACAAACTTAAAACATACTTTGCGGCAACACACTAGCATGTAGTCACCCGTAGCAATAATACAAATTGCATCATTTCCAAATAGAACGTGCCGATATGTAACCAATAATGAATTAATAGTGTAGTCGCAATGCCTTAAAACGCGTTCCAGTTCAGATGCTACCGGTATGTACCGGTGCTTGCTGTTCCTCCGTAACAGTATAGTACAATGATTGGCAGATTTATCACGTTTTCATCTGGCAAATGAAGGTTTGGCGTATCTTATTTTGTATTGGCATAGAGCAACAAATTGACACGATGCAACGAGGTTGGTTTAGCCACCTATGAGAGAGAGGTTGCGCCGAGCGTCCCACTGTGTGTCCCGGCGAGTAGGAACAGATTCCATTTAGTAACTATTGCTAGTTCACTTGACCTGTACCATTATCAGTCATTTTGCGAAATATTAACGTTTTAGTTTAGTAGCTCATGGGGGTTAATGCCATTTGATTCAGTGACACAGTAGGAACCACGGTAAATACAAGACGTATTTCCGTTCTATTAGGCTACTTCAAAACCGTCGCATTTCCCCATCCATATTCTTATTTCATAAAATGGTTTCAAATGTTGGCTAATGTTCCAAATTCTTTCAAGGTTGGAAAGTAGACCTAATAACCTAATATAATATTTAGGCCTATTTAGATTTTCCTAATTTCCTAGATGGTACCACATTCTCAAGTATATGTAAACATAGTCTCTAACGAAATTCTTTATTTTAATTTTATATAGGCCTATATTTTTGATATGCAGGTCAACGAATGCTAAAAAAACATTAGATTAAGTGTATGGACTTAAGAAGAATAAGCCTCACTCTTATGATTTCAGCAGTTGAACTTGGTAGTCATAATGCCATCATGAAAACACCCGCTAAAAGGTAGAAGCGCAATTTACATAGGCGGGAAATTTATGGGTTTTATTGAACAGGTGAAGAAAGCACATGTAGGTACAATTATCGAGTAAACACAATCATTAAATGCAGTACAAACAAACATAGTAGGTATAGCGCACTGGTTTCCTTCAGATCACCGCCAAAGTGAAACACATTAGCCATATCACATTACGTCATGAATATTTATACATATATGAATAATCAGATAGGCCTAATAGATATTCCTACTATAGATGTACAGTATATGTTTATGTTCAACAAGCGGTATCCTAATAATTTTATAGAAATAATCATAAGAACGACATCATAAACTGTACTGTAATGGAAAGCATGCAAAAGGTTTCAGGATGGGCGGGTTCGGTTCAGGAGAAATTCTGGTTCGGTTCAGGGGAAATTTGGAGGTTGGGTGTTTTGCAGTTCATTTCAGTTTGGAAATAATTAGTTAAGGTGTTAGTAGGGCAGGGTCAGGAAAGGAAATGTCAGTGTTCATGAGTATTGTAAGCAAAAATCTCTAAAATTGGAGTTAATGCGCCTGGCGCAACGACTACGATATTGGAGGTTTTGCGACCTTAACATTACAATTAAAAAGATCAGGGAGGGTTTCTGAGTATTGTACACTAAAACTCCAGAATCGGAGTCGAATTGCCCTGCGGAAACATTCCAAAATTACAGATAAAACGGTTAAATAATTTACCTATAGACAGGGCGCTTTTTTAACCCTACGATTTCGAAGTTTCTGAGTATTGTACGCAAAGACCCCTTTAGTCGTAGTTTAAGATCGGAAGATTTGCTGCGTAAAAGCACTATAATTAAACGACAATTTCCAATATAGAGAACGCGTGTTTGCTCAGATTTCAGAGTTATTGGGTATTGTACACTTACGGTACACTTCAGAATAGGAGTTTATACGGCCTGCGCAAAAAAATCTATTAAAATTAATACGATAATTATTTTATTATTTTATTATTTTATTTATTTTATTTTATTTTATTTATTTATTATTATTATTTTCTTTTTTATTAAAAATAATATAAAGTACGGCATAAAATGAACGGTTAAAGTGAGGAATCTGCGATTGTGAAAATAGGTGCCAAACCTGTGTATGCAGAGGCATATATATATATATATATCTGTCTCTTATACACATCTGTNNNNTACCAAGTATACCAACTTGGTTCAAGATGGCATCCGGCAAGCTAAAGCTAATTATTATCAGAAGTTTTTGAAAGCCCTGGAAACCACAGAGCCACTATTTGCATACACACCTGGGCTGTGTATATATATTGCCTTGGTGTGGCTCTGTAATCATCAGTGGCCGTGGGACTAGTTTGGGCCCTACCTAAGCTGGTCGAACGTTCGTTTGGGTCTATACCCTAGCTGCACTGATGAGGCCTGGAAGGTCGAACCGGATCCGCCTGCAGATATTGGGATTCCTTCCAGTGGATGCTTAGTTTATTTTGTCATTCTGATCGGATTTTCTCTACTGTTCCGTTTTAATTTTAAATAGTTTTGCATTATGTGGCCGTTTGCTGTTTTATCGGTTTTTCCCATTTGCCTTTTAAAATTTATAAATATATATATATTATTATTATTATTTATATATATATATATGTATATATATGGTATATATATGATATATATGGTATATATATATGGTATATATATGGTATATATGGTATATATATGATATATATATGGATATGGCATATAGGCCTATACCATTATATACCCTATTATGGATACACATACGGTACACTTTATTACTTGCCTACATGTTATTATAACCAAATAGCGCGGTAAAAATGCTTATAGATTATAAATGCTTATAGATTATATTATTACTCCCTTCATCCACATCAATCAGTCAATCTATCAGTCAGTCAATCAATTAATCAATAATCAATCAATCAATTAATTTATAAGGGGGGCTATATAGCCTACAGATGTCTTAATCATCATTATTAATCATTTTACAAAGCATAGGCCTAATGTATGGAGGAAATTTGAATGCGAATTTATGTTCAAGATTCAAGAAACAAGATTTAAGATTTCTTCATTTTGAATATCATAACTACATGTAGGCCTATTGAGATTATTATTCCTTGGAAATAATAGATATAGAAAATATTATTTTCTATATCTATTATTTCCAAGGAATAATAATCATAAACAAAAATAATATAAAACAACAATTACTTAGTAATTTGATGTACACTAGTTGCTGGATATTATGGAATGCTTTATAAAATTATGGTATGAAATACATGTTCAGTGTGGCAAACACTGTTTGAAATTTATGCAGTAAAAGTAAATGGAATTCTAAATTCAGCTAATTTACCAAATTTGACCTGAGGCAACAAAACATATTTATCATGCTCTGGGTGAGATCTATCACTTTTAAAAATTGAGACGATATTAAAATAATATTGTGTAAACTATGACTATATTTCTAAATTGAATGACTATTTTAAAATTTATATAATTGTTAGTGATAGTTGTATTTGGAATATATAGTTTTGTACAACTTATTTTGTAAATTGATTTGTATTGATGCCTTGGAGAACCCTCGATAGTGTTTCACTTTTGGTAATCCTTGAAGGGTATCGTATTTTGTTTCATATTTACTCCTGATGTTGTAATAATTATGTTGTGGTAGATCTTTACAGATTGTTTGCTCTACATCTTCAATGATTTTGTTAATTCTTGTAACCGATTATTAAGCTAACTTAAACATTTAGAATAAAGTTTTAAGAAATAATAGCATGATACCTTGATTGAACTTTAAAAATGTTAGTATAATTGTAAACTACAATTTTGATTTGCTTATTATCTCATTTTATACCATAATTCATTACATATTTTAATTTAAACGTTTTCGGCTATATTCACATGCCTATTAAAGCATTATAACTATGATTGCTGTAATTTGACCATTGTTCATACTTAACCCTAAGGATACATTCACAGTATGCTATTATACCTTTATCATAAATTGACTAAAGAAAACAATATTTTATATTGTAATATTTGTTTCATTAAACGTTCGTAAGAGCGTGTCTAAGTGCTGAATGAGCAGGAAGTGTATAAAATGATATAGAGTGAGTCAATTATTACAAGGTGTCGGCATTAATTAGCTAAAGCTTTTTAAAGCCTAATGAAGGACAATAGATTGTACGGCCAATCTGAAAAGGCTGTTTTGGTTGATGACGTAGTACGACAAAGGAAGTAGTTTCGTCTACAACGGAAAGTTTTATCGCTCACATGACATACCGTAGGCCTAGGCATATCGTTTCAAAGAATGAATTAGAAGAATACGCACCTATACCGAATGTCACATTGCAAACTGTAGTCATAGGTCTAATTATGACTTAATTACAACCATCATTTTAGCTTCATTTTAATTCTATTCTGGTAGGCCTGGTTTGTTGGTCTAATTTTTAAATTCATTCCTTCTTTAAATTCCAAAAAGCGGCGAAGATCTCAAAAGTAACAGTTCATATTTAATCTTACCACCTTCTCCTCACTGTTTTTATTTTTTATATGTCGTTACGTTAGGCCTATGTAACATATAGGCCTATAGCACATGACCAGGCAATCATTTAACGCCACAGTTGTGGTTCTCGGGGGGTAAGTGGACCTCCTAAGGACTCTAAAAGTGTAGGAGTATAATAGAAGGGGCAGTTATGTGCGAGTACGGAAACATTTGTGGCCAAGGAAAAAAAAATACGAATTTACAAAAATATATAGGAAATTTGGTTGGTTGGTCTAAATGTTTTTAATACATTCCTTCTTTAAATTATAAAAAGCGGTGAATAACTAAATGTAATAGTTCAATATTTAATGTACAACAATAAATCAAATTTAAAAAGAATTAAAATTTAGCATTAGCCTAGGCCAGTTTTATGATGACTTTCAAATACAATCATTCTTTATATCACCAGATTCTAATTGAGAAGTTTGGGCACAGGTTTTCATAAGTAATAATAATCTATATTGAATTGGAATAGTTATTTGGAGTTTCAACATTCAGGCACGGTATGAGCCTTCGAAATGGAGAGTAAAACAATTCTAACAGTTTCATATAAGCAAGCCTACCGTGACCATTTCCATTACCATTACAAACGGCATCCGTTATATTCTCCTTTATGACCAGTCTCAGGCTAGGTCCGTATATTACCATTGAATCTACCGTTAGTGTTACTGCTTTTATTACCCTTACACTTTCAATGAATAAATGAATCAATCAATCAATCGGTTGTTTTATCTATATGGTGCCATTCCAACAGCCACTGATCGAAGTGCCATTAGTGTTTATAAAGAGTGAATGAATGAATGAATGAATGAATGAACGTACGAACGAACGAACAAACGAATTAATGAATACGGTACATCAACCAAATGAACGACCGAACAACCAACC